AGAGAAGTTCTCAGAACACTCTGGGCCACGTTAAAGCCGTGACAGCAGGCATCAAGTTCAAATTGGTCCAATCAACATTCTAAAAAAATGGCAAAACTGTTAAGTTTTATGCTAACAATCATTATATGCACTACTAAGTGCAGCTTATTAAGCTAGCGTTATTCTACTCATAAGCTGCTGCAAAACCTTATCATTGGGATAAAGCTTTGATAACCAATTACTTTATTTGTATATCATTTATATATGTAGAACAAATCTTAATCATAAGTATTTTGATACAAACCTAAGTAACAAGCCACCGTTGAGTGTTGACCTCCAGTAGTTGTGTCAATAGCCAGCCGTAAATGAGGTATTCAAACCCAGTGTAGAACAAAAGTCATGCATCCCTAGCTAATCAATCTCTCTCTCACACACACACACTCTCTCCCTATCTCTCCTGATGCCCAAATGTGCAGGCTCCAGAACCAATGTGCAATGTCCAGTCTTCAAGAACTGAAGGGCAGCAGGGCCACCGCCGATCGAAAAGCCTGCAGACGCGGCAGTAGCATGCAGTTGCACAGAAGAGAGCAGAGGCGTGCCACAAAGGACACCGCGCCCCATTCTGCCACAGGCTTGCATGAATTATTACCCGCAGGGAAGCCGAGCCCGAGCCCCCTATCCTTGCGTCGTCCATCGTCTCTGCTGCCGCGACTCTGTTACCTCCTTGCCGCGCGCCGGCCTGTAGGGCTGTAGCTGGCGAGGCTGCGCCATGAGCGGCACTGCTCACCTCGCTGTACCTGACCTGTTTAATAAATGCACAACAAGCCCCACTACTTGCCCCCCTCATTCCCTTTTTCCCACTCCCACCCACCCGTTAACTTGACTGACTCCGTCCGTCTGAAGGCCTGGCGCGGCGACGGCACGTGACGGCGTTCGGGGAGTGGAACTACTACTCGTCCTCCCATAGACGAGATGCATGCCACGCTCCGGCGCCACGGCGGCCCAGTGCCGGTGGTATGCGCCGGAGCCCTGCAGCTAGGGCCTGGTTCAGGTACCCCTGGTCCCCGCCCCCGCGTCGTAGGCCGGCCGCCGGCGCCTAAGAACAAGGCCATCTTCGAAAAACCATCACGACTAAAAGTACTCTTCGTTGATTTAGTGTACAAGAAAAATATTATTCTTTCGCTAAAACCTTACGGCTCATCAGATAATCGAACGGGGCCAAGGCGTGGAGACCGGTGATTGCAGCCGGCGGCGGAGAGCACAAGAGCGTTGCGACGGGGACCCAAGCGAGGGCGGTGGCGGCAGGGCGCGCCCGCATGGTGGCGGTGAGGCCCCGTGTTGCATGCCTCTGTGCAACAGCTTGCCACCCAATCCACTGCAGCTCTGCAGGCTTTTCGGCGGGGGCGCTGCCATTGCACTGTACTATTCCGTAGTACATTGGTGGTCGAGCGTATTATTTGGGTTGAGTGCCTCGGTTGATAGGCACAGCTAGAGATGAAAAGCGGCCGGACCCAATCCGGATGCAGCTCTATATTTGTTTTTATATTTTCGGCGGGGCGCGGATAGTGTCAACCATGCGGACTGATACTACTGGATATCGTACATTGCGATTTGAGTATTGGTCGGATCGGTATCGATATTGAATTTGGGAATACTGACGGATTTAAACCCCTCTAAACAAATTCGGTCTCAAATACGGTCGAAAAATATCCGTACCATTTCCATCCGTGATCCTAGCTCAACAGCATGCTGGGTAGGGTGCTTTTACGACGGGGGGATCCGAAATCCTGTAAAAAAAGAGAAATAAATCCACTCCGGATGCATGGCGTGAACATTTGGAAAAAAATGGTTCATGGGTGACGACAGGGGAGTGTTTAAGAACAGTAATAATAAAATAAATTATAGAAGTTCTCGTTAATCTATGAGACGAATTTATTAAACATAACTAATCTTTTATTAATATATATTTACTGTATAGCATCACATTGTAAAATTATGAACTAATTAGAGTTTAAAAAATTTATCTATCAAATTAACCGCAATTTATATAATTAATTATTTTTTAGTATATATTTAATACTCTATCCACGTATATATCAAACTGATAGGAACTAAACGGAGGAAGTAAACAAGCCGACGAGAGAAAGAAGGAACCAACGGTTGGGCGAAGCCCGTGTGTCGGAGACGGCCAGGTTCGGCTGCTCTGGTCCACTGATCTACAGTAGTCGCTCTAGTACACTCATCACTCATCACTCATCGAGACGGCAATGGCCGGCAGGTAGCCAGCCAACGCTGCTACCGCCAGTCCGCCAGCGAGCTAGCCCTGACGTGGTTGATGGCCATGGCCCAGCAGCACCAGTAGTGTGGTGCGCAACGAATGCGAGCGCAGGCGTCGCCATGCCGCGGGTACACATGCATGTACAGTGCACTCGCGTCGCATGCACTGTACCCGTCGTGCGCGCGCCGTGCCTCAACTGTCAAGTCCAACCAACTCGACGCCTGGTTTCTGCATGCGCAGTTCAGTGAAACCGAGGAATTTGATTACCTGGTATTTTCGTTTTTATTGATGCCACTCTGTTCAATCATGCAGTTCTTCCTTCCAATACGATCTCATGCTTACTAAATGGCATGTAATTAAAGCCGAGCGCTACATTTAATAAAGGCTATACTGTACTACCTCCGTTTTCATTTACTTTCACCGGACTTTTTAAAAAACTTTTTTTTGACCATACGTTTTTTGACCTCTCAGGCTCTGCATGCGCAACAGTGGACCGAGAAATGATATGGCCTGAACACTCTGCCCATTAATATTATATAAATGCCATGTATCTAAGATTTTTTTAAAAGTTCTTCCTTCCTGAGATAATGCCAAAGGCGGCATGGCAAAAAGTTGTTGCCAGCGCGCATTTATAAAGGCTATACTGTACGTGCCAAGGCATCCAGCGCCCACTGTCCTTCTCCCACCAGCATAGCTAGCTTCTCTGCTGCTGCTATCCTTCTACTCACCACCTTCGACCTTGTTGCCTTCCATCGGCTTCTTCTGATCTGAGACAACACCTAGGCTTCTGAGATCATGGAGAAGGCGAGGCGGCGGCACGTGCCGGCGTTCGGGGAGTGGAACTACTCCTCCTCGACGTCGTCCTCCCCAGACGCCGTCGCTGCGGCAGCGGCCGAGTCCTGGTGGTACGCGCCGGAGCCCGAGGCCTGCAGCGACGTCTGGTTCAGGTACTCCCCGCCCCCTGCGCCGTAGGCCGCCGGCGCCCAAGAAGGCGCGGAGGCCGGGGACCGCGGGCGGCAGAGACGTCGTCTCTGTAGCTGCGGAGCACAAGAGGGCGGTGGCGCTGGCAGGTGCGTGCGCCCCAGCCAAGGGCGCTGCCCGCAGGGTGGTGGTGGTGAGGCCCCTCGACGAGGACCTGTACCGGGTGCCGCCGCCGGACGACCATACCACTGTCTCCCACCTTCCAAGGCGGCGGGTACGTCGTACGTGACGCATATAGTAGAGCGACTGCAAAATAAAGCTCGCGTATTCTTCTTGCTATCCTTCAGTTGGTTCTTGCAGACTAAAAATTCCTCGATCGCTTTGATTTGCAGAAGAAGAGGGCGGCGAGGAGGAGCTTGTGGATGGGTTGCTTGGGCCTCAACTGCGTCGCCTCAAGCTAGTAGCTTACCAATGCGGCGGCTAGCTGATGCTGTTGCAGCACTGCTCTTTAAATTTTCATGTGTGCTTCCTCTCGTGTTCGTTGTTAGCTCCCTCTCACTGTACTGTATGCCATACTGCTATGGCAGCATGAAGATTAGAGCGAGGAGAAGTACTAGCTTAGCAGTAGCCTAGTAGTTGTGCCAGCGATCAAGGAATAGAGCACCAGTGAAATTCGACGGGGTCGGTCGTGCATGTGTGGATTGCAGCATCTTGTCATGCCATGGCATGGTACCAGTGAATAGAGCCATCTTCCATTGCTAGTAGCTCCTGGTCTTTTTGAACTGACAAATATATTGCTCCTGATCAATTTGTTTAGGTAGTTTGTTGCAAATGCTGCGTTTCTATCGATGGGTTATTGCAATCCGCACTACCCGGATGTCTCTGTCAAACTCATCACTCCAGTGACTACGTGCCCTGCCTCACTTGCATGCCAAGTGACGCGCTTTGAACTAACCGCACATTTTACGAACGGTGTTTACTGTTCATGCATGACGTAGTGTACATGTGCTTTGGGGTTTGGGCGACGATTCATGAACGATCCATGTTCAGACAGCAAACGTTCCTAAAAGGCGACGGATCAGAGAGCAAACGTTTCGATTCAACAGTAAAGATGTAAATGCTTCCAACAGATGGCCCCGGAGTTGTGTTTCTTCTCTGCGAACGGGCCGGCTCCATTGATCTAGGTACACCAGTCCATTTTGGCAGAGGTCCCAGCGTGGCTTGTCGCAGGCACAGCCAGTACAAATGGATGCAATGGCAATGGGCCTGTTCGTTTATTTCTAGTTGACCTGACCGTAGCTCTATTGTTTGGTTACTGCAGCAGCACTGCCACGGCCAGTGGTACCTAAACGGGTTTTCGTGTGCTAGTGTAACAAGGGTTTCATCTTGTTGTCTCGCTGGCCTTTTGTTCGATTGACCATACCAACGACACTTTGCGAGCTCACTTATAAATTTTGTAAGAAAACACGTCGTTAGTGAGAAAAGTTCTCTAGATATACAGTACATATATAAATTTTGTAAAAAAACGCCTTAAAGATGAACAGTCTTAGAGGGAGCAGCAGACACTTTTCATCAGAAGTCTGGCTTACACTTCGCATCAGCAGACACAAAATATAAATAAAAAATAATAACCAAGTATATGTTCTAGTGTCTGATAAGGTACCCCAAAACTGAACACAAGGCACAGCGGGAAACTCAACGTAATGGGTAACTGGCAAAATCCTCTCTACTTCTAATTAAACATTCAGCATTGCCAGAAGGAACCCACCCTAAACAAACCGAAGCCAAATAAGACGAAGATGGCAAGCAAGCAACTTCCCCCTTACTTCTTCTTGGCATCTCCAGCCTTTGTCTGCAAAAATTGCGCAGCAAACAGAATTGATTATGTGGTTGGCTACCAGAACAATGGGGAATACAAGTAGCAACCTAGAAAGTAGCAGTTGTCTACTGGTACTCACCTTCTTCACACCGCGGATTTTCTTTGCCCTGTTCTTACGTTCTTTCATCTGCTTTCGTGACTTCTCTACCTTAGTTGCAAGGCCGTTCTGTCAAGGAAAAACAGAATATTAGCACCTACAAACAGGTGTATCAAACACAGGCTAACAGCAACAATAAATGGCGATATCTGAAGGTTCAAGACAGTCAAACACTGCAGTAGCTTAAATACAACATGTGCAGTAATTCTGCCACATGAAAATGATCACAGAGAATCTGCCACCATTCTTTGTTTCAACAATAATATGCATGGCTTTTTGCTCCGATGTTAGCATAATAGTAGGTGTCCGATTTTTTCAATGATGAAGGTCAAAAGGATTGCTTATGGCGGTTGGGTAGTCATTTGAGCTTTGCTAGATCATGAAAACAAGGAAAATGAACACCGATCAGAGGCTACCATTCAGGTGTAGTTTGGTGTTCAGTTATACAACAGTGGGATGTTCTCTTATAAAACAGCAGGATAGGTAAGACATCCTTGGTTCACAAGAATTTTGCTTGGTTCGAGATATAGAAAGATAAATATATGAAAGAAATATCTAGTCAAAGCTTGAATGAAAATATCTATACAATGTGCACTAAAATAATGTAGCAATAACAGCTGTTACAACAAGCTTATCATCCAAAAAAAATGCGTCCGAGATACCATCAAATTGGGTGACATACAAAATTACATGACTTTGCATCAATGCCCAGATTAAAACCATTTTAACGAGGCACAATTACATGTTAGGACAAGCACTCAACCAAGTAAGCTACTCCCTCCATTCCAAACTACAAGACGTTTTGAGTTTTCTAGATACATAGCTTTTTGTTATGCACTTAGATATACACTATATTTAGATATATAGTAAAATCAATGTATCTAGAAAAACCAAAACGTCTTATAATTTGGAACGGATGGGGTAAAAGCTAACACATCAGTATATATCCCTATAGCAGTTTTAGGATTTTATGATGTTAAATGCATCCACTAAACCAGCAGAGCCTTAAGACAGAAGATTCAGCCATTCAGGGAAAAGCCCAAACTACCATAGCAGGGCAACATCAGCCGATACTAGGGAGTAGAGACACTTAGGGTGTTTGGTTTGAGGAATGAGTAAATCCATCATCTTCTCCCTACTCATTTTTTGGTTTCCTTTGCAGAATGGAATAGGTTGATCCATCGTCACCTTATTTGTCACAAGCTAATGATTAATACTACCATAGCAGGGCAACATCAGCCGATTCTAGGGGTGTTTGGTTTGAGGAATGAGTAAGCCCATCATCTTCTCCCTACTCAGTTTTTGGTTTCGTTTGCAGAATGGAATAGGTTGATCCATCGTCACCTTATTTGTCACAAGCTAATGATTAATATAGTATGTGGGTAGGGTCATTCCACCAAATTTGAAGCATGGAGCGACTTCTCAAACCGAACACCCTATAGCCCAAACCGAACACCCTATAGCACATTTCAGTAAATAGGACCTTGGTCTAAGCTCGTACAATTCAGACACTGAAAGAGCAGCTAAGGTGGTGTTTAGATCCAGGATGTAAAGTTTTGGGGTGTTACATCGGATGTTACATGGGATATCGCATGGGGTGTTGGATACTAATAAAAAAAACAAATTACAGAATCAGTCAGTAAACCGCGAGACGAATTTATTAAGTCTAATTAATCCATCATTAGCACATGTGTTACTGTAGCGCTTTGTTGTCAAATCATGGACTAATTAGGCTTAAAAGATTCGTCTCACAAAGTAGTCGCAATCTGTGCAATTAGTTATTTTTAGTCTATATTTAATACTCTATGCATGTGTACAAACATTGGATGTGATAGGTTGTAAAGTTTTGGCGGATGAATTAAACAAGGGCTAAAAGTCACCGAATGCTATAGACAAATCAACCACACATTCCTACATTGGGACAATTAAACAACGAAATCAAGCGCGGAACTCGATTACACTGACATCGCGAGGCAATAATAACATACCCGGATGAGGCGGTACTTGGGCTCGAACTTCTTGGCGGCCTCGAGGTTGTCGTAGATGAGTCCGAAGCCGGTGGACTTGCCGCCTCCGAAGAGGGTTCGGAACTTGAAGACGAAGATGCAGTTGGAGTCCTTCACCTCGTAGAGCTTTGCCAGCCTCTCTTTAATTCAGCTTTGCCTGCGCGAAAGACATACGCGAAAGACATACCATCAAGATCCCGCCGAACATCACCGAGAAACGAGGAGAGGACGAGATCCCCGACCTTGGAGACGTTGGTGTGGCCGGGGTGGATGACCTCGAGCACGAACTGCTTGCGGGACAGGAGGCGGTTGGTCATGAACTTGCGCGTGCGGAGGGTGACCGCCGCAGTGGCCTTCGAATCCGCCATTATTGCTGCGGCTGTGCGGCGGCGGCGGCGGCGGCCGAGCAGGAGGGCGGGAGGGGAGGGGAGGGGGGGCGGCGCTGGAAGAGAGGTGTTTGCGTGAGAGGCTATATGTAGTGAGAACCCTAGGGGGCTATTTTGTTTGAGACTTTTTCGCATGTGAACATTATAAAGATCGAATTATGCGTGTGTCTACGAAAAAATTTAGCGGTCTTGGGCGCTACTACTTCAACTTTTTCGTGTTCATGCCACTTCCGTCGGTTTTGGACGTTAAGCAAATCAAGCTGCGGTGTGAAAAACGAAAATGCCTTAAGTTCAAATATGTTATTAATTTTTTTGAGCATCTTACGACTTCAAATGAAAAACTCAAAACTAGAAAGTTGTAGATCTCGTCAAGATCTATAATTTTCATATAATTTTTTTCATTTAATTTCGCAAAAAAAATGATTTTCTAAGATATATTAATCATATCAAATCATATTTTTTTATGAATTAAATGAAAAAATTTATATGAAAATTATAGATCTCGACGAGATCTACAACTTTCTAGTTTTGAGTTTTTCATTTGAAGTCATTAAGATGCTCAAAAAATTAATAACATATATTTTAACTTAAGGGCATTTTTGTTTTTTCACATGCAGTTTGACGGCGTTAGAGCCCAAACTGACGGAAGTGGCATGGATGACACGAAAAAGTTGAAGTAGTGGCGCTGAAGACCGCTGAATTTTTTCAGGGACACATAGGGGATTACGATCTTTTATAATGGCACACAGGGAAAAGTCTCATTTTGTTTGGCTCATGTGGGCTGAATCAGAACGCCCACCCTTCTATCATTTCATGGTTTTGGGCCAAAAAGTCAATGCCACTTTACTAAAGGCCAATTTAGTAGAAGAAGAAACTATATGGCTTGTATAGTAATAAAAATAGTAACGCTAGTGTATGGGCGTCCGTCCGCCGGGACGCCCTTTGTGGGTCGCGTCGCCAGCCCAACTATCCCCTCTCATTCGCTCGGAAGTTTCTTAAAAATAAATCCTCTCATCTACTCGTTCCTATCTGCTCTAGGGGCAATGCCCACCATCGCCGCAAGCTAAGGGAAGCCAGCAAATCCGCGCTGCCCGATCACGGCCGACATCTCTAGATGCAAAGGGCCAACTCCAAGCGTCTTCCGTCTTTACACAGGACTAGCGTCGCATTCGCGTTCCTGCCAAAATCATCGGGCCAACCTACTACTGGTACTAGCAGTAGTAGCAGCAACAACGCCCAGTTGCCAGCCAGCGCCCAGCAGCAATCATCCTAGCCAAAGCCCACAAGAGCCATGGTCCCAGCTGAGGCGCCCGACGCCCACCACCACCCATGGCGCTAAGCAAACTAGGAAAAGAGTCCAAGAAGGGAGTAAGGTTGCGTTTAGTTGCTCGGATAGCCATGGATATGTAGCATTTGCTTGGATGGATTATTGGGACAAGCAAATCTATCGATAGGGAATATACCCTTAGATGCTGGATTTTCTGAGAAAAAAAATCTGGCGGACTAGCTTATCCATGTCTTCTAATCTTTGTCATTAGTAAATAAATTAAGGATTATTAGTATGTTATATTATTACTTTGTAATTGTGATGGTAGAATTAGTTTTAATGAGTGCTAATACGTTGATTAATGTATGTTTCGTGTGCTAATTAGAACTAGATGATACCCCACGCATTACTGCGGGAATTTTGTAGTGATATATTATAGAAACATTTATATAGCATCAAATAGTAAAATCACTAAAATAAAATTGTATAAAAAATAAAAATGTATGTGTGTTGAGCTTATTTTGAGCTGATGTGAGAATTAGGGAAAATTTTAGAGGAGCGCAGCGGATGAATTAAGGAAAGAGAGTAGCAGGAACTTACCCTTGCAGGTAGAAAAAATTATTATAGTTATCAATTATCATTATTATATTTGGTAAACCGTAAACATACTTATGTCGAGAAAATTGTCTCACTACTAATCAAAACCAACTTGCTTCCGACGTCAAGTATATGGTTCAACTAGGTCTCGGCGCCTAATTGGCGATTCGAGTCAGGTCTCGGCGGCGTTTAGGGTTCCTCCTTCCTCTCTATCGCTGGCTTAGATTCTTCATTGGGATCTGAGATCGAGTCCACGTCCCATCCATCATTCGTGTCCACATCAAATTCTCCTTCTCGGAACCTAGCCTAAAGTTTCTAACCAAGTTCCTGCTGCCCGAGACGTAGGGTTCGGGGTCCAACTATTGGTGTTGGTGCCCATGGATCCAAAGGCGGATGGGGTGTCGGGGATGCTAGTGAAACTGTGGTTGTCAGAGATAGAACGGAAGGGCCTCAAGATCGGTGGAGCTAGTGGTGTGATCAAGGGGAAGTTGGAGCCGCAAGCGGTGGGTAAGGTGTTGTCGGAGAAACCGGTCCGAGCGAAAGCCCTAGAGCTTTCCCTACTCCGGGTTTGGTGCCCATTCAAGGGTGTGGAGTGCAGAGATCTAGGTGAGAACCGCTTCCTCTTCACCTTTCTGCAAGCATCGGGGAAGAGGTGGGCGCTGGAGGACGGTCCATGGATGTTTGGCAAGGATCTAGTGGTGATGGCGGACTTTGATGGGAATAAGACAATTGATGAAGTGGAGTTCGCTGTGATTCCCATCTAGGTGCGTATCATGAAGATGCCGTTGGGGATGATGAACAAGAGGGTCGGGGAGATGATAGGAGATTTAATTGGGGAGGTGTTGGATGTGGATGTTGATGATCGGGAGATGGCGATCGGCCAGTTTCTTCGGGTGAAGGTGAGATTGGATATCAAGAAACCTCTGATGAGAGGAGTGACTCTGGACATGGGGGAGGATGGGAAGGAGGATATGAAGTGGTGTCCTCTTGTCTATGAGTACCTCCCTGATTTTTGCTACACGTGTGGTCTTATCGGCCACACGGATCGCTTCTGTGAGGTGCAGCTTGAGAAGGAGCAGTGCAGCAGTTTAGTAAGGCTCTGAGGTTTATCCCAGAGAAGAAGAGAGGGGGTGATGAGCCATGGGCGAAGGGTTTTGATCCACGGCCATAATTACCGTGGAGGAGCTCTAGGGGAAGTGGAGCTGGTGGCTCTAGCAGTGGGGGCAATGAAGGTAGATGGGGAGTGATAGCTCTAGTTGGAGGAAGGAGGGGGTCATCTGATGCAAAAGAGCCAAGCAAGGAGAAAGAGCAAGAAGCTACTAGCCCTTTGAAGGTAGCAAAACAGGTCACGGTGGAGGGGCTTCAAGAAATCTTTGCTCCCTACCTTGACAGATACTGTTATGGGAGTGGAGGTAGGTGAGTTGAGTGCTGGAGCTAAATCGGTGGGGGTGTAGTGGGGGATGTCCTAGACGTGAACAGTACCATGCAAGTGCCGCCAAAGGAGAGTGGGGCACTAGTGCGTGCTAGCAGCCCTCCCAATGAGGACTTGCCTGCTCCTGCAGGCGAGGCTGATAAGAAGAAGAAGGTGGAAGCTCTGCAAAAATTTTCAAAAGGGTGAGGAGGAACTCAGGTGGTGAGGAGAAAGAAGAGGGGGACAAGATGGTGGAGAAGAAGAGGAGTAGGGATGAGGAGAATGTTGACGATAGTTAACAACCATTATAAACCATTAATATAGCATGTATAAGGGCATAAATATGATCACTAGCAAAGGTCTATGGGTTTAAACTAACAAATTCCATGAGTTTTGGTGAATCTATATTTTCTACAGGGTTTATCCAAAAAACCGTCAAGGTGGACCAAAATATTAGAATTAATCGCGTTTATCCATAGCGAAAATGACCCTAGAATGTTCTAGAAGACCCGAGAAGATACCACACCAAAGCAAAGGGCGAGGCGCCGCCAGGTGGGGCCAGTCGGCCCTACCAATAGGCCGGCTAGCCCCTGGGGCCCACCTGTCAGCCCCCGGTTACAATGTCGGTTCTCCACCGCCTTAAGGATTGCATCTACGTAGTTTATTCAAGTCAGTTTGATTTGAGGGCTCAGGATTGACGCTTTGGCCTATATATATATCAGCCCTTGCCACCCCCAGGATCAGATCATCAAACCCTAATCAAGTTAGTTGAGAAGACAGAAACCCTAATCATCCTCAGAGCTCCATCATATTTTAGGGCATAGCTAGTTAGGCTAGGTCTAGAGGGAGGCAAGCCGGTTTCGCTTGGATTCCTGATGTTCAAGAGCGTGGTTTGGTATAATCTTTGTACCCCTCTCTTTTGTATCTCTCATTATTTTTATATGTTTGCTACAATTGTTATGACATTATTATTCATATCGTTTATGTTCCTAATTATCATGTTCATCGTCTACTTTGATTATATGCTTAGTATAGTTGGATTGTCAACATATTCATGCATAAGTTCGTATAGCGCTCGCCCTGGTGTACACGGGGTGAGTGGTCGACATTGTGTAAGCGTGGTGCTTATATGTTGTTTACCTGCAGATACACCCTATATTCCGGGTCATGTAGTAGATCACGGATGTGACACTCCCATTGAGTCCTTTGTAGTCCACTCCCCGAATATAGGACAAGTAGGATCTAGTTACGAAGAAAGACAAGCTTTGTTCTTAATCTTCCTTAGTAATATCCCTTATGTGTAGATATAAAGTTGATCTTAGCCATGATTACTAAGTGTAATTGCACTAATCAATGTATGCTTTGACTTGTAATTAAGAATAACTTAGGAATTATTTCTCTAATATTCTACTTAACCATGCTAATGCCATAGAAATGAGTACTCTGAGTGATTAATGATTAGTTATTATGCACCATTCATATATACATTTACCTCTTGACTTACCACTGTTGTGATTAGAATATTGGTTATGGTTTACTTCTCCATCAATAGCATAAGTTATCAATACATGTCCTTGCCAGACCTTCCATGTGGTAAAAATATAAATAACGATACCTAGAATACTTCCAGATGAAGTGCTATAATGGTATATTATCTATGCGCTTGCGGATTACTTTCATTCATATATATATGTATATATTTCTTCCTAGTTATATAAAATAATAAAGAACTACTTAGTATCATTCTAGTAATAATACTAGGTAGTACCAACAAGCATATCTGGCATCATCACTAGGGATGACAACCTAGTAAAGTAATGTTAAGAGATGTAGACATACACTAGGTGACTACTAAAACAAGTGACAAGTTAATAAATACCAACAAGCATTTCTGGCGCCGTTGCCGGGGAAGATAGCTAGGCAAAGGAAGTATTGATAAACTTATACTCATTGATGTGATCGAGATAAACCATTGACCTCTGCTCAAACATGCTTACCCTTGTTTTGTCTACTTTTGTATCTTGTGCAGGGTATTGTATGACCGGCTTTGACCTTCTGACAAACTACGTTGAATATCCAGAAACATTAATCAGGAGAACTAGAGCCAAACTCAAGAAGGTCTCAGCTTTAGAGTAGGAAGACAACCAAATAAGGCGAAGCTTAACACCAGAATTTGAAGCCATGGCTAACAAGACTCTCCACAAATTTTCTGCTCCAACTATAGCCAACATATGTACTGCACCAACAGTCGATGTTCGAGACAATGGATTTGAGCTCAAGCCAGCTCTCATCAATATGGTGCAAGCCAGCCAGTTTTGTAGAAAGGCATATGAAGATGTGAGTGCTCATCTTCAACACTTTCTGGAGATCTACAGCACTTTCACCATTAAAAGAGTGACCAAAGATGCCATACTACTTCGCCTCTTCCCATTCTCACTCTTAGGGAAGGCGAAGAAATGGTTCTACGCCAACAAAGATAGAAACACTGCATGGGATAACTGCTCCACTGCCTTCCTAGCCAAGTTCTTTCCCACGGGCAAGACCAATGCTCTACGTGGGAGAATTTTAAGTTTCCAACAGCAACATGATGAATCTGTCTTTGAGGCATGGGAACGCTTTCAAGATTATATTGCAGAATGTCCTCATTATGGGATGGAGAATTGGCTACTCATGCAAACTTTCTATCACGAGTTGACCAACAGTACCTGTGAGACTATGGATGCTGCTGCTGGAGGTGCATTCCTATCACTCACCATACCAGCTGCAACAGCTCTTGTGGAGAAGATGGACTCCAACCAAGGTTGGAATGAAGAACGTCTTCAGACCCGCAAGAGAGGAGGAGGTATGCATCAACTTAAGAAGGTAGACATGCTGTCTGGCAAGATAGACCTGCTGATGAAGAAGCTCGAAGACTGAGCTAATGAGAAGCAAGAAGTCATGCACATTCATGATTCCCGCATGACATGTGAAGAGTGTGGAAACATTGGGCATTCAGGGAACAACTGCCCTGAAACCCATGAGGATGTAAACTTCATCAACAACAACTACTTTTGTCCTCAACAGAATCAAGGATGGAATCAACAACAGAGGCCGAACTACCAAGGTAATTACCAAGGTAACCCTCAAGGTAATAATTTCAATAATTGCAATCAATCACCCTTGAGAGAATTGATTTATGGCCAAGCTAAAATTATGGAGGGCTTATCTAGAAAACTAGCTTCCAATGATAGAGTTTTAGAAAATATAAATAATAGAATGGATAACCTCTCCTCTGCTATTAAGAACCAACATAGCTTTAATAAAATGATAGAATCACAAATAGCTTAGTTGGCTGCTGCTATTCCTCTGACCAACAAAGGTAAGATTCCAGGGCAACCAGAAGATCTAGAAACCATAAATCTTGTCGATATTCACAATGTAGCATACTACTGTATACAACCATCGATGGGAAGGTGGATAGATTATACCTTGCCTAAAAAGAAGAGCGATCTAGGAAGACCTGTGATCCCCATCACCATTGGACCACACATTTTCTAAGAAGCTGTCTGTGACTTCGGAGCAAGTGTCAACATTATGGCTAAGGTAATCTATGATAAAATTAATGGAGATACTTTGTTGTACACAAATATGTATTTGCAACTTGCAGATCAGTCACTCTGCTACCCCAAGGGAGTTCTTGAAGATGACATTGTTTGAGTGGGACAATCATATGTTCCCGTAGATTTTGTGATTTTGGAAACAGGTGGAGATGTAAGGGCACCCATTATCTTGGGCCAACCTTTTCTAAGCACTTCAAAAGCCATCATCTACGCAGACAGTGCTAAAATCTGCTTCACAATCAAGGATAAAAAGGAGAAGTTTTCTTTCAAGAATCGTATCTTGCAATCTCCTCGACATCCGTAGATGTTGTACCTGCCCGAAGAGACAATAGTGAGTAAGAAGAACAACAACAGAAGAAGGAAGAACAAGGTCAGGCAGCCACAAGAAGAATCAGTCAACATGATCGACACACTCCGATCAGAGTACGACCACCTCATCGCTTCACCATTCCTTGCTAAGAAGGATGATCTAGGTGTACCCACGATCGAGTGTGCCATTGGACAAAGGATCTTCCACAACACCTTCTATGACATTGAATCGGGTGTCAATATAATGTCCAAGGTAACGTATGAATACTTATTTGGTGACAAACCTTTGTTCCCCAAATATGCAATTGCAGATGGCGGACCAATCAATCCGATTTCCGGAAGGAATAGCGAAAGATGTCATGGTAAGAATACATGATCACTATGCCCCTACCGACTTCATGGTTCTAGACATGGGTGAAGAAGATGATGACACACCCATCATCCTTGGAAGACCATTTCTCAACATGACCAATGCAATCATCTATGTCAAATCTGGACAAGTCCACTTCCAATTCCCTAGAGAGAAGGTACACTGCTATTTCAATTGTTATACTACTTATGAACATCCAAAGAAGACCCACTCCAGGAGGAGGCATCATTCATCCCGACGCCAAGAGAATCAACTACCAAAGAATGAAGAACCTAGAAGAAGTTGTGAAAGATGAACCTACTCCGCCAAAGTCTAGTCCACAGACGAAGCAAGTATGAAAAGAAAAGAAGACATCATCCGAGTCACCATCACTAGAGGTGCAACCATCAAGATCTCCATCTTCAGGTCCGATAG